AAAAAAAATTGATTGTGTTGTTCATTTTGAGGAGCTGGAAAAGAGCTGCTAAAATATTTTCGTTCATGTGCTTCTGTGCTGTGTGTTCCTGCGGGGTGTGCGCGTTGCATCAGAAAGGGGAAAGACACTAGTTTTGCACAGAATCATTGTGGGCAAGTTGCAGAAACTTCAACAAGAAAAAATGCTCCTTGTCTTGCGTATGTACTGGAGGCAAGAAATCTTGCAGGGTTTAGCAACTGTAGAAGATGTAATTAAAATTAAATGGAGACTCAAAGGATCCCAAGCCCTGAAATATGGGGGAAATGTTTGACCAACACCACCCAAAAAAATTCTTTGGACACATGAAACTAGTTGTATGTGTTTATTTGGAGGAACACGGCCAATCCAGCAAATGCCCTGTTTGTACAGTTGAGACAGGTAAAAGGTAAAGGTAAAGGTTCCCCTTGACAATTTTTGTCCAGTCGTGTCCGACTCTAGGGGGCGGCGCTCATCCCACTCTTCAAGCCATAGAGCCAGCGTTTTGCCCGAAGACAATCTTTCCGTGGTCACATGGCCAGTGCGACTTAGACACGGAACGCTGTTACCTTCCCACCGAGGTGGTCCCTATTTATCTACTTGCATTTGCATGCTTTCGAACCGCTAGGTTGGCGGGAGCTGGGACAAGCGACGGGCGCTCACTCCGTCGCGTGGATTCGATCTTACGACTGCTTGGTCTTCTGACCCTGCAGCACAGGCTTCTGCGGTTTAGCCCACAGCGCCACCACGTCATCGTCTTTCAACAATTCACCTTTTTTTACCCAGGATGGCTAAGGCAGGTTATAGATATCATCTGTTTTTGCAATGTCTTCACATTGTCCCACAGGAGACCACACTGGCTCCATCTTTGCTGTCCTTGTGCTAGCAGATAAAGACCTTTCTCTTAAGGCAAACTTTCCTTGAATGAATGAATGACTGGCTGCCTGAGTAGGGTTTTTTAAGTGGATGGTTGTAACTACCCTTATTGCTTTGAGTGTTGCTTTTGGTTATCAGTTTTTGTGCGGTGTTTGTTTGATCCTTTAAAATATTTGCATACTTACTGTTTTTACCTCTGAATATTGTGTTTCAGTGATGTAAGCTGCCTTAGATTCTTTTTAAGGAGAAAGGCAGGGTACAAACAAACGAATGAATGAATGAATGAATGAATGAATGAATGAATGAATGAATGTAGGCAAGATGCTGCTTTGTGATTGGTCCCAAATTACTCCCATCAGCAAGATCATTTAAGAAAGGGGGGGGAGATAGAAAAAATAAAAATAGAAATGAGAAAAATTATTTTAATGCAAGGATCAAAAAATAGAAACGAGGCATGCTGGCGTAGGACATCTTGATAGCCACAGACAAAAAGAGCTTTTCTTTCTAGGAATTCTTTACAACTTCCCATTAGAGCATACAAATCTATTTCTGTTCCATCTATGATTTTGCAGAGTTGACAAGGCAAGTGTCTTTGTATCATGTGATGCTCAGCAGCAGCATCCACTCACTGGCAGCATCAGCCATGCTGGCAGGAGAAATCTGAGAAG